TGGCTGACCCTTCGGTCGCTCCAGTTGGAGTCACCGGGTGCTCTAGACCAAAGCATCCTAAATTCCTTACCTTTTACGGCAACATTGATCACCGTTCTTGGTTGCCATCCCAGTATTGCTCTGACCACCATGACTTCATCGATCATCATAAGCACAGGTGCAATTGCCATGCCCGTCTGGAAGCCGTGCACAAGAGGCCGCTCGTCGGCTTTCTTGTCATGTTGGCTGTTGATGGCAGCGGAATCGCTGGTCTGGTCAAATATGGGTGGCTCGATCGCCGGCCTGTTCCTGGTACTCATGCCCTTGGCTTTGGGCGTTGGTGTGGCATCGGGTCTTCTGTGGCACAAACGAATGAGCCATGCGCAATGAATGCCATTCGGAAAGAATTCAAAGGTAAAGACATCGTGAGCAATAGTGGGCAGGCATTACCGCAACCCTCAAATCTTTCCACGAATTTTCTCTAAACTACAGACACTTCTTGTCTTCACAGACATCTTCATCCTACGTCTCCGCAGATGCCGCGGGAAGATACTCGACGCTCGACGCGAGTGTCGAATTCTAGATCCTATAATGGCTCTTTTTCTCGACTTTACGAATCGTTCGTGGTAAATTGGTACCGCAGCGGTGACACACTGTGATATCATAGTGGGGAGGCACAGATGAATTGTTCATTTTTTTGGGCTTCGTTGTCCTAGCCAAGCGATGGTCTTTCCTTAGTACTTTCTTTTAATCTCAGACTGGATCAAGGCTCGAAAGGGTATGTTCTTTTCTGTGCGGATCTGGGACTTATTAGAACAGGTCGCAAGAATCCTGATATAATTGTAGCTGAACGCAATTTCGAAGCGATCATTCAGTACACTATATCGTAAAGGGAGAGAAATCCAGCATGACTGATCTGCCTAATTACCAAGTAGACACCGGTTCTGAGAGAACGGGCTCAAACGGGCCCATTAAAGTCTGAACATTTCATTTCTCAAGTTCGATCGGTAGAAGTTGAGAACTCTGTCTATGGTATATCAAACCAGGTGTGTCTATTAGAATGGCAAAAGTGGAGCCCGACAATAACTCCATGCTCACATACCGCCTTCTCGCATTAGCTTTGATAATGTCATACCTGGGCTTGATCTCACAATCCTTCACCAGCGCATCGCCGCTCAGTATCTCGTTTCCCTATCTAGCAAAGTTGGCAGGTGGCTTGGTCGCAGGACCTTGAGCGGTCACATATGCCTAGTCATACACAGCAATCAGCCGCAAGTCCTGAAACAAGACAATACCGAGTCAAGCAGTCGAGGACCTCTGCGACAGTCCGTGAGAATGCTTACTCTTGTCAATCCCCCATCAACCACGAAGTCAGTCCCATTCACGAAACTGCTCTCGTCGCTGGCCAAGAATAAGACGGCTTGGGCTTGTTCAATGGCTTCGCCGAAGCGGCCTGATGGGAAGTGGATCTCGCGGCGGTGGCGTTTGGCTGCGTCATCGCCGAGCCAGTCTTGAAGGAGCGCGGTGCTGAAGACCAGTATCAGCATCTCCCAATAGGAAGTTGAGAGAAAGGCTTACTTCAATGGGGCAGGACACAACGCATTGAATCTAAACCCTTCCTTCGCATGCACAATCGCCAACTCCCTTGTTATTGCCAGCACAGCGCCTTTGCTCGCTGTGTACGCCAGCTGCGGCGTCGCACTTCCCACCAAAGCAACCACGCTGGCTGTGTTAATAATACTCCCAACCTTTTTCTCATGCCTCCGCATGCTTAGCACAGCATGTTTACTTCCAAACCATACACCCTTGACATTGATATTGTGAGTCAAATCCCAGATCTTTTCCGGCGTATCAATTGCGTCAGCATCATCACCGTGCATGATGCCGGCATTGTTGAACATGATGTCGACGCCGCCCCAGGAGTCGACATGTTTGACCATGGCTTCGACGTCAGATTCTTTAGACACGTCGCATTTGATGGTTTCGAGTCGAGGCGGATCTGGGAGAATGGTGTGGACTTTTGCTAGTGCGGTAGCAAGGGCGGGCTCGGATATGTCCGCCATGAGGACTGCGGCGCCTTCGCGGGCGAAGAGGATGGTTGTTTCGAGGCCAATGCCGCTAGGAAGAAATGGAGGCATCAACGTCGGGAAATCAAAAACGCAAATAGGTTCATGGTAGGAACGAAATACAGCAAAGGAATGGCAAGAATATGGTAAGCACGGAGGCAAGATAAGGGTTAGTACTAAGCACGTGACCCGGACGGGGCACTGCATGCTGAGTGCGCTCTTCGACAATAAGACAAATGCAGGCGAAAGAACTGCAGCGCAGACAAGGGAGCAGTACGAGTGCTACAGCAGAAAGATCCAGTAGTAAATATTGAAAAGTAGACTGGTCAGACCCACCCAGCAGCGCCAGTAATGATGGCCTTTTTGCCTTCCAGGCGTAGACCTCGCTTAGTGCTCGCCATGACGGAGAACGGGTCGAATAGAGCGCTTCTAATCCGAGAAGCAAGCGTCCAACCTGTCTAGATGCTGAATCAGACAATTCTCGGATAGAGGTGCCGAGCAAGCGTACAGTGCTGTCACCACTTTGTGCTGCACTCAAATCTCCTCTCCGAAAGACAAGTTGAAGGTGCAAGCAGCGCTTCGTGATAGATAGTGACAGCGGTCTGGTTTCTTACCCATGTGTACTCTGAGCTGTTGACGGTAAGAGAGATGATAGTTAAGGAAATGTCGCCGCAGCCTTCCGCTTCACGTCATGCATGAGAGATTGGAATGTTGATAAGGCTGCATGCGTGACAAGCGCTAACCGCGTAGTGGGTGTGTTCGGTGGCGGAAGAACGTATAGCCGACATTGTCAGGCTACCAATACTGATAGCTATGATACGACCTCGTTGAATATCTATGGTCGTGAAATAACTTAACAGAAGCACAAGAAAAGATATTTGATGAAAAGCATACTTCGCCTTATATACATACAATTTGTTAGTCCCGCTGGTAAGACAGACAGCTTATATTAGAGTCGTCCACCAGCATTGACCTACAGGGTTCAAGAAGCCGTGATACGGGCACCACTTCCTGAAATAACTGACCGCCGTAGGTACCGCTGACAGCTACTCTAGACTTGGAATTGGACAGTCAGCAAAAGGAATCTGCTCTACAAAACCTTTAGGGTCAACGTTCAATTCCGCACAATCTTCACCGAACGCGACCAACCAGAACCATTTAGGGAGACATGTAAATGAGTTATCAGAAAAGACGCAGCAACGAAGGAGATCTGGAGATGGTGATACTTTGGCTAAAGAAAGGCTCTCCTTTAAGTCGAGAGGTTTCCTGCCAATTTTAACAAGTAGTAATACATCGTCTCGCGTTTTACGATATTTTAAACCCTCCATAACGAGCAAAGCTCAGACCTAATTACGACATCGGATGGGACGCTGCACCCGTTGATATAGGATATTGCCACGGCATACAAGGTACCTAGATTACAGTACACGTAAGCGGTAATGGATATCATGCAGCTTCTCTGGTGCACTCGTGTTCAAAAAGGGTCGGGCTGATTGGTGAGCGATCCTTTAGATTATGTTTACTGACCACACGCACATCGTATAGGGCTGCAGGCGGCGGACCACTGAGAGTGTGCTTATGTGTCCGCAAAACTTGGCAAGCTACTGCTCGCAAGTGATTGGCAGCTGCAGGGTCTGCCGCAACGAGGCCTAAAGCGAACCGCATACCGGACATCCTCAATGAAGTTATTCACTTAGTTCAAAAGAAAGGAGCAGATCCTCGCGAGAATGACATTGTAATCCGTAGAGTAAGTGCCCTTTTCGCCACTGCCTTCGATTTTGCATTCACTATTTCGTAATAGTCTATCGACGCCTAACAATGTTTTCGTGGTGCCTGCTGCCGACTTCCGCCCTGGCCTCTCCGAGGACCAGAAGAACGCAGTTCATCTCTTTGATGACCCTGCGAGATGATCCGAAACTTGCAGGTATATATCAAACAGCATAGCAAAGGCAAAAAGTCGCGACATCTGGCTGCATGTAGTCAAATTGAGTAGCGATAGAGCCATACTTTCCAGACTGTCGATATTCGGGTCTCGAGCCATTCTGAATGGGCTGCGATCGTCTCAAGTGCATTTCGACTGTTCTCCTCAGTAAGTGTTCTTGCGGATGTCTCCTTCTTATCCTTTCGATATTGAGAAAGCTGAGTCAAAACTATGGTTCCTTTTTGAAAAAGCTTGCGGACATGCTGTGACAGATCACAGCACGGCTTCCTCTGTATGTAAAGCACATGGTCATTCTTCAACGTCACGCATTTGCAATCGCAAATAGCGCAGATGAGGCAGCGAAACGGCGGGAGATACTGCAGCGTCTGTCGAAGTCTCTAGCCTACGTCTATACCGACGTCCTCGAATTCTGTGATGGTGCTCGTAACCTAGAAAACACCAAGATCCGTTATTCTGTCGGAGATTCTAGTCTACCCATGTCCTACTGAAGTCTCACTCTAGGAATATGTTACAAAGCCCGCATGACTCAAGGTCTTTTCTGGACACCATTTGATACAAGAGTCTCTAACACACTTGGCTGGCTTAAAGAGAATAAGTTGTTGTTCGAACATGAGCTTGAATTTGTGTACAATGAGGATCCTTTATCGCAACATGCAAACATTGATCGAGAGTTAAAGAAGGACTCATTACATCGCCAAGAAACGGATGATGAAAGGAAAGCGAAGCAGTGAGATACACTGAGTAAGTATCTCGATATTTCGCGTTTTCAATTAATCCAAATTATCTAGGTAATAAGTTCAGAGATCTGAAGCACTGGATTGCAGCTTCCCATTGGGCAAAAGCACACGATGAAGCAGAGCGGCGGCGACTAGATGAGAGTGGTACCTGGTTTATTGGACAGAGTAAATACAAATCCTGGGCTCGAGCCATTTCAGAACAAGGAAGCGCGGAGACTGCCTGACCACGACTTCTAATAATTTCAGGTACGCCACCATCCTATTGTATAAGGCAAAATGGTCTTAATGGGTCATCGTGGAGGTAAGCCAGGCTACGAGAAAACGATCCTTTATAGCTAAACCATAGAGGACCTCCAAAATTTGGTCGCTGTAGAGCCTTCCTTCTGGAGCGCTGGTGCTGGTTTGGTAGCCTACTTCAACTTCACTAACCTCCAAAGTGACTCTCACGTGGGAGGCGCTGCTTTCCGGGCTGTGATTGCCCAGATGCTTCAAGCCCGGCGATCCGACCCTGACTTCATCGATATAGCATCGCTTCTACATGACAATGGGAAAGGCCAGAACAAAGCCCTTGAACAAGACATTCTAGACATTATTCGCCTCTTCCTAAAATGTCAGGGACCCTCATTCGGTGTTTTCGATAGACTCGACGAGTGTTCGGATGTTGAAGATCTTTTTCTAAAGTTCAATGATGTCCCCCTCAAATCGTCGTGTAAGATTCTTATCCTCACAAGGCCGATTATGGATATTTCCGGGTTTATCGACCATCAAAGATTTCACCGTGTTACCCTGCAGAACCAGAAGAATTCTGGAGACATTGAGATCTACCTCCGAATGCGATGCGGATGGGTAAGCTGATCGAACGAACAGCTATTGCAGGCGATCTTGGTCTGGATGACGTTGTTGCTCAACTGTCTTCGCGCACAGATTCCATGTTTTTATGGGCAGTCCCCTTGAGCAATTATCGCTCATCCGCGTATTTGACTCCGAATGAACGTCTGGACCCGATCTATCAGCTTAATCATTTGAAAGTTTAGACGCAATGTACGTCAGGATTCTGAAAGACATGCACAAGCGAATGTCTGAAAAGCAGCAGGCCAAGGTCACCCGCATCTTTCAATGGCTTGCTGTTGCTAAGCGGCCACTGTCAGCTGAGGCTCTAAGAACAGTACTGGCCGTGCAACAGGATCGCCCAGCGACCTCATTTGACTCCATTCAAAATTTCGAAAGCGTTCTATCGCAAATGTGTGGTTATTTAGTGGAAGTACGTAAAGACAGGACCGTGGACTCTATTCATGTCTCTGTTCTCGAGTACCTCACGCAGCGAGAGGAAGGGCCTCACGGCGCGCTTAAACCATTCCTCATTGAAATCTCTTATTCGGAAGCATCCATGACAGGGTTTTGCCTATCGTGTATGACGTACGAAGTTCCAAATGATGTGGTTGAAACTCAGCTGCCTCTGCTCAAGTACGTTTCAGAGTAGTGGCCGTGGCATACAAAGAGAAGTTTTATGTCGCTTCAACAGAGTGACAGTGGCAGGCTGCTACATTCTGCCTTCACTGCCACCAACATCTTCATACACAATAACCCCTTGGTGACGACCTGGATAGAGGCACTATTTTTGTTCCGCCAAAAGCACAAGTTGACCACATTAGTCTCGATTGTGACTCTATTTCACGGCAGGTTGCTTTTATCGTCAGCAAGAGAAGCTTCGTAACTCGCTGATGGCTTGGACCGATTCTCCCTTCAGGTCGGCAATCTTTACCAAAGATGGCGTAGAGTTCTAATCAGCCAGCCGAATGAGATTGGGGGTCCGAGAATCCAGGCTGGGTCACAGTGTGAATTCCTTGGTGAGAATCTTGCAACGTTTACGACTCTGAACTCCGACAATGATGTGGATTGGGTTTTGATAGCCTCGCAGGCATCTTTGGACAGCAGTGAGGTTGGTATGTTAAGGGTGTTACCTCCCCCGCACTCACAGTCCATGCATCGATTCTGGGCGACCCCGGGACACGCACAAAGCCTCGCCTATAAACTGAAGGCCGCGATGAGATATGGTCCTTGGAGACTCTAAAAGTTACGTCAAAGGATGATTTTCTAATACCGCGAGAGAACGCTCAATACCAGCCTTTAACGTTCCGATTGCCAGTTGAATTCCCTCCTTCGCTGCGTACGATAGTTGTAGAAGATACTATATTCAGAGTCTTGGACGAACCGTCAGGAGCCTAGTCTTTGCGAAAAATTTACAAATTCTCCCTGCCCCTGGGTGCCTACACTACACAAAAATCATGATCGTTCAGAAAAAACATGAGGAAGAAATCTTTGCATGCCAGACACTCTGTACCCGAACATGCCTGCTGGATCAGTTACATTTTCTTACCCAATGATTAGTATCTGGCGGCACTCTATGGTGGAAACTTTCAAATATGTGGTGCCTGGATTCTCACGCTCTCTGAGGAACCCCTTTGGGTATGTTGAAACCTGCTTTTGCACGAATCACAAGTATTGGCCTCATTCTCAGTCGTCTAATCCTGGTCATTTATCGCCAGAGAGCAGAGAAACAAGACCTTGTGTGCTTCTATCCCTTCGAACCTGTCGTAGCGTTCTGCCCTGGTGATCTATCAACTGACAATTGAAGGGAAAACCCTACCCAAGCCTCTTAGAAAAAAGCGAGGTGGCTTAAGCAGTTTTAGGCTCCGAAGGCCCTTGAAGTACATTCGCAATCTCTTCTCAATCTCGGCTTCTCTAGCTGTGGGGATTACCTCCACGGAAAAGGGTTAGGGTTACCGATGCCAAATCCTGATTCAATATCCACCAATCTCGTACCTATTCCTGCCTATCCGCATACGGCACTCTCGAAAATCAGTGACCGTCTTGGCATATTCCTCCATAGCGGTCTCCTCCAATACATAAAATCTTCGTGCAAACATTCAACGATGTCAGAATCGCACAAATCGATAAAAGCCATTAAAATCACTTCACTCCCCTCCATTGAATGCTCGGCTTACTCTAACCGACCAGTTCCTCAGCCCCACAGTCTGACGCGACACACCACGACGCGAAGACCCAAGAAGCTTTAGATATCTCAGCGACTTCTGAGCTCAGAGAAACTTTGAAGAAGGTTGTCTTTAGATGGGGTGCTGTCGAAGCTGATAAAGGCTGCTCCTCGTAAGGGTCTTTGTATCTGAATTCCGAATCTTCCTCCTTCGCGCAGGCGTTCAGGGAACCTTTCTTATTGGTTATACCTCCGACTGGTGTCCTGTCTTTCTATTCCCTCTACGAAGGGGGAACCCCTAGTGATCCCGCGTTCTTGACGAAATTTAATGGGCCCTTCTTCTTGCTCATGGGACCTGTCTGACTCTCGACCAGCGCAGGCCCTTGCTGATCGGAATCATCTTCCTCGATAATCTTCCCTTTTTCGATTTCAGTTTCGCGGTCCTCCTTCTATGCCTGATGACGCTTTGTAATTTGGGATATGTTATTCATGAATTTTCTTCGAGAAGTACATTGCTCTTCAAGTCGATCATGTCTCCATTGCTAGTAACTTTTAAAAAGCTAAATACTTTTACGTCGTACAGAAGATTATCGAAGCTTGTTCCCCTTCACAATAGCCATTGCTTTAACACAGAGTTTCGAACAGTCGACTTTTGATCGCGGTAACTGACTGTGTTGAGACTGTACTGGGGTACTTATGGTTATGGTTAGTTAGTATGTTATTGCTAAGGAGGTTAATCTGCAGTGGTGGCAGCAAGTAGATGCACGGGAGTGCTGAAAAGGGCGAGTCCCGCATAAGCGACTGCTGCTGGCACACTCGTAGCATAACCGTCCTCTCTTTAAAACGCCATGTCCGCATGGCTGGGACAAGGCCTCCCCAGAAAACACACTCGTCGCTTACCTTACGTCCCAAAGGATCCATCTTCCTTGCTTGCCTTGACTAGAGAAAACTGAATTGACCGTAGCGTGGGGTGTTGCCAAGTTTTCTCGTTCCCACTCTTGCCCGTCCCGTTGTGATCAGGCTAGGAATAACAGATGACGCCGTAGGCTTGGTGGTCTGAGTGTGAGCGTGGATCTTTCCTAATAGGGCATAACTCATGTGGAGGTCTTGGATCCGTGAGGGTGGATTTCGATCAAACTTGATCTTGATTCAGAGGCTTGATAAGCGGGAGGCGGAGGTATAGAGCGATGTGTTAAGGGAGGTGTCGCCGATGTTGGAATCGGAGATCTCTGATGTGTTTTCACTGTTTAAAAGTGGCGCAAGGCTGATGCTGGTTGGAAGATGTGTTGTAGGCTTCTGGCGATAACGGTTTGGCCAGGGTCTTCCCTTGGGACCATTGTTGACTGCTGTGGCACCGAATATCGAACCATCCGAAAGCCTCCATAGATTCAAGATAGCGGTTTGCATATACGCGGTCCAACTCGTATCAAAATCGCCGTATTCGCCCGCGTACTCAAGGTATGTGTCACTGGGCGGCGTGGTGGTGAATCCGTTGGCAAAGTTGGCTACGGCGCCGGTAATGTTGGTTGTGCCCACGATGAGTGCGACGGCAACGCCAGTTATGGGATTGGCTGCATCGGCAGTCAGGACGTCGATGATGATGAAGATTACCTTAACAATTAGATCAGAGGCGTTGCTATTGCCCTCACTCCATGGCTCACGATTTATAGAAGAAGCAAGGCGATCAAAAGGTCCCATCAAGGGTCGTTCGTCCGTCTATGCAAGTATCTAACCTCGGTTGAATGAATCTACGCGCCTTGTTTCCCTGAAATCGTGCCTCGAATTCGACGATCGTGCGAACTTTCTTTCGTTCTTGCTGCACAGCCGTGCGGACCACGAGATCCGGTCCGCCATCGCATACCGTGACTTCTTAACAACACGAAGATTGGTATACAAAGTGCCCCAAGGACAGCGTAGACTGTAAAGCACCAGCCGACTCCAATCGCATCGATCAGAGCTTGCAGACCAGCTATACCGCCGGCACTCAGTGCGCATCGGATCAAGTTGTAACCTGCCTGGACAGTGGCACTCTGGTTCGGATTCAGATCTGTCAGGAGCGTGCCACATACCGTGAAGATGGCCACTTGTGAAGCGCCGCTGAAGAACGTCAGGGTCAGTGGGACAGCGATAGAAGTGTGCTTGTTGAGCGCCCATCCGAATCCAACAGTTGCGGTGGTACTGATGGCGAGCAGTGGAAAGACTGATAGAAGTCTTGCTTGTTCGATAGGGAAGTTGGAGAGATCGTTGGTAGACTTGTCAACAGGCAGCTTGTAGCGTTTCGCTGTGCGGATGTAATCTCTGTCGAGTAGCTTGCCGGTAGTGTAGGCTGCGAGTACTCCACCAATTCCGCATGGAAGGTAGATGAGACCGCCCGTCAAGTAGTTCAGGGAGTACAGTGGAATCATCAGTGTCGAAAAGGAGGCGGCGAGACATCCGTATACAGTGTATTGGATTCCCCCAACCAGGATCACGAGGAATGACGCTCTTTGCCAGAGGGTGATCAGACAGGTTAATGGGTTTGGAAATCGAATCGCTCGCTTTGGGGCCACTTCAGCATCACTGCAACGGGAAGCAGAGGATTCCAGGTTCGGAAAGATTGGTCTGTTGATAAGACGGGGCGGGCGAATGCTTCCATCGTTGACCATCCTTCTGGACGTCTCGGGCATGATGAGAATCAGGACAAGGAGATTGGTTCCGGACATGATTGCCAGAAGCCAGAATATCCAATGCCATGAAAGAGTCTCGGTCAAGACACCACCGAGGATGGGACCCAGGCTTGGTGCAGAGTTAGTGCTGGCATGGAATATCAGCACCGCAGCTCGAGCATGATCGTAACCATTGGGTGTACTCACAAACCCTGAAGAATGCCGATGTATGAGCCTCGCTCCGCGGGTGGAGCGATGTCCGCGATAAAACCATATGCAATGGCGATAGTGCCTGGACATAGAATTTAGTCTAGCCCTTCAGGATCAAAGACCGCAGGGACTTACTCGATGCACCAGCGCTTTGGAGACATCTCAACACGACCAGGGCTGTGTAGCTATCTTGAAGTGCGAGACCCACATTGGCTGAGAAGTAGAGGGTGAACGCGATGAGGCACACAGGACGACGTCCACTCTGATCTGCTAGGTCGCCCAGGATCGATGGTGCAATGCCAGAGACGACTTGATAGGAGGTAATGGTAAGGTTGACGAGTTCAACAGAAACGTGCAAAGAGCGTGATATTGCGGTGATCGATGGGTAGTAAATGAATGACGAGAGCCCTGAGAACATTGCCGAGAATGAGGCTATGGAAGAGATGCATGTCTTTTGTCGTTGGCTCAAGCAGGAATACGGCCGACTGTCATCCTGTAAAACTCGCCCACCTTCTTCAGCACCGGCAGAGGCACCAAGGGATTCCTCAACTGGCGGCTCAAGCGGTGCCTTGACTTCATCATCCATTGTGCAGTATACAACTCGACATCGGTCAAGGGGCAGTTTCCACGTTTTAGAATGGCGGTAGGGTTCGATCTTTTGAATGACCAGCTTCCTGCTTGACCATCAATGAATCACCATACGGATATTGATCGGCAAGTGGATGACGCGAGGTTTACAGCAAGCCTAAGGTATCTCACAATGGTATACGGACTACACTCACTGCTACCTATTCCACTTCCATTATTAAGCACGCACGTCTACTCGGAACCGTAAATACTAAAAAGCCTATACTACTAAGTCTACTTACGCTTGGCTCTGCTCAGATTTTAGCAACATTTTTCATAACATTTTTCATAATGTTTTCAATGCGGGAGTAGCCCTACCCCTAGGCCGCTAACTTGATAAGGCAATACCTCGGGCGAAGCAAAATACTCACCATCAATAGCCCTAACAGTACCCAAAGCCTTAACAGTACCCGAAGCCCTAACAATACCCGAAGCCCTAACTGTACCCGGACCCCTAATTGTACCCGGACCCCTAACAGTACCCCGAAGCCCCGACCCGGGTCCCTGTTGTTAAATAATTAATATCATCGCGAATATAGATCGGATTATTATAATTTTTAAATTTTTGGAATACGCTTAACTAAGGCTACTTATATATTTAAAAAATAATATAATAAGATATTAAGATACGATAGCTATAGTACTCGTATAATATAAGAAGCCCTAAGGCCCTAAAGCTCTGGAGCCTTGGAGCCCTAAAGCCCTAGAGCCCTAAAGCCTTGGAGCCCTAAAGCCCTAAAGCCCTAATTGTATATAGGGTTTCGAAATCTTATCGATATTTCGTGAAACGCGATTATTATACTACGGCTTAAAGAGGTAATAAAGTTTATGAAAACACTTTTTATATTATTTAAAGTGTTTTCATAAGATGGCGATCGACGACGCTATCTATTATCATATGTTGTTAGACTATTAAATTATTACCTCTTTAGATTATGTAAAATGTTATGAAAACTGTTGTTAAACCTCCCTAATGTGAGTGGCCTTCAGTTCTGGGAAATCACCTCCTCGAAGTCATCAAAACCATTTGAGTACTTCTCTGACATGCGCTTCATCTCGTCCCTCGCACTAGCCCACGTCAGTAGCGTCCTTCAAGAGGTCAAGGCAGCTACTCACAGGTTGCGGAACTTATCGGAATTCGGGAACAAGGCAGAGACCAGAATATCATAACGCCTGTGTGCGACGGTTGTCAGCCGATCCGATTCTGAAAGACCATGAGCTTCGACCTCGTGCTTACATTGCGTATAATGCGTTCCTGTCATCCCAGTCTTCTTCCGGGTATGACATGCCCATACGTCTCTGATACTCCCTCAGGAATGGTTTTCCCATTCGGTATCTGGGTGCTCTCCAGCTTCCAAGGTCTGATTCGTTATGGCCCCAGTAGGCGCATGAGTCGAAGATCATGATTTCATCCGTATCCGCATCGGGCATACAATTTCCAGGCCACAGATCCGAGTGAACTAGGCACGGTGTCACTTTGCGTCCCCCAGACTCAAGTGGCCTCAAGAGCCTTGGTATGACTTTGGTAAGCAACTTCTCTTTAAGCTCTTCGAATTCTTCGTCATCCTTGCCATGAGACAGCTCTTCCAGCTCTAGCATTCTTTTCATTGCCTTGGTGAAGAATTTCTCCCACGTATCTTCCCAACCATTGTCACTAGGAATGTTGGCCAGGTGAGTTGGTACATCAAATCCAAACTTGCCAGTTGGTGATTTCCCCACGCTCTCCTGATGGATCTTGACTATTATGGAGACAAATTGTTGAGGGTCTGGGACTTCGTCGACCATGTCATGGTATTCGGCGAGGTAGAACCACATGTCCTCGTTGGACTTGTAATTGCCCCATGCTATGGGTTTAGGGATATTGTGTGGTGCATACTCATAGAACGCTTTCTCAGACGCAAATGTACCAAGCATCATTCTTCGACCCACGCTGCCGCTTTGGCTCTGGAAACAACTTTAAACTAGGTGTCTCAGTTGTAGAACATGCGCTGTACCTTTTTGAAGTAGTCTTTCGTTGTTCCATCCTTTTGACGGGTTCGAATACGGACGGTCTGCACCCAAGCACTTGCTCCAGAAGGTGTTATTTCGAGGACTTCTGTTCCGGGCAGAAGCTCTAAATGATGACCCAGTATTAGTAGAAAGCTTCCCGATGAAGGATGAGAACGAATGGCCCGGCCGAAGACTCTTAGCAACCGTGCAAGATGAACAATGGAACAAAGCGTGATCCTCAACCTTGGGGAAACCGTACCGGAATGAACCTTCTCATCAAGCTCGCTTTCTGGTTCCGCAGTCGTCTCTAAGGAAAGACCTGCTATAAGTTCGACTGGTGGCCACTCCTTGAGCGCGGGCCCATCGTCAGACATTTTCGCTGGCGGACAAAAGGACTTCTGGTTGTAACCGGCATCGCGAATGATTCACTGGGCGAGGGTATCCTTGGGGTTTTATGTTATCTCGATAAGCGCCCCAGGCCTTTTCTTGATATGATAAGGATAGTAAACATGTGCTGTGAGACCGAGCGGCACGGTCCAACTGTTGGTAATTGGATGAGCGGCGCTGAGCCTGCAGGTCGTATGATGAATCGTGCTGATCGTGCTGAAAGCGGAGCTAGAGTTGCTCATTCTGCGGATCCGGGCGGATCGCACGGGTTACTATCGGGATCGTATTTGGTTCCCCGGTGGGGTGCCCGCAAATCTTGGCGCTGAAGCAAGCAAATCAATTTCACTTCACCAGTCGATATTTTGATACACAGCACTTTTGAGCAGAAATAACACATGGTGAAATTTCAGATGACCCTACCAAATCTATATTTTTCATTGATATCTTCTTCGATAGAGCTCTCGTTATGAAGCTGTGTCGAAGGTCGTGATTCTCACCCCACCGGGTATTAAATTCTGACTCGATAGTAATAGTAATTGCTGATAGGTGGGTCTTGGTCCGATAGCAAAGAACATGCACAGATGGGCACCACCTACCATACTCCCGGTACCGACACACCCTGTGTATGGTTAGCTCACCCGAAGCAAATAGTGCGGAATTGAACTTTCGAGACTTGCCGATATAGTGCTGGGTCGCAAAGTACATGTAGTGGGGATATCTTCCGTCCTGTCATCTAGTGCTCTCTGTACTCTATCCCTCCACAACTCGTCGGCGTTCAAAATACTTCAACGGATAAGGCTGAGAGGGGCCACTACCAAAGAGCACGGCAATACCTCGAATGTACTTCGATGACCTTTGAGCAAAGTGCCACTCAACAGCGGCAACGACAGATCAATGCCTCTCACGGACCCCTTGCGGCGTAAATCTACAACGGCCACGTTGTTTCTTGATAGACCCTTCTCTGGCCTGAGCCTTGGTCGTCGGCAATCGGAGCACGTTGATGAGGTACGCGGCCCTCTGGGTCTGAACCTGCTATATGCGCCCTCCGAGCCCCTCATCGATTTCATCTTCGTACACGGTCTGCGCGGCGGATCTCGCAAAACATGGAGTAAGACAGAGGATATAAACCACTATTGGCCACAACAATGGCTACCTTTGGAGCCGAGGTTCAAGAATGTCCGGATACATTCCTTTGGATACAACTCAGATTGGGGGGAGAGGAAAGGTAGCAATTTGACGGTGCACGACTTTGGGCAGGCGCTTCTAGGGGAGATCTTGAATTCACCAGATCTATCTGGGCATGACGAGAACACTGCGATTGTCCTAGTGGGACATTCCATGGGAGGAATTATTATCAAGAAAACACTATTACTCGCGCGACAAGATCCTCATTGCCAAAAGCTCGTGGGTAGATTCCACAGTATGTTCTTTCTCGCGACACCACATAGAGGTGCGGACAGTGCCCAGCTTCTACACAAGCTCCTCAGCGTCACCAGCAACAAAGCATATGTTGGAGACCTGGCGCCTGGATCGATGAGTACACAGCTCATCAACGACGAATTTCGCAACGCCTATCAAGGAGTGCAACTATGGTCGTTTTTCGAAACTGTTAGCACCAGCATGGGATTGATCGTCGACAGGGAGTCCGCGGTGATAGGACTGCCAGGAGAACGGGTACAATTGTTAAATGCAGACCATCGCCACGTCTGTAAGTTTGACACTCGCCTAGACAGTAACTACTGCAGCTTGCGAAATGCCTTCGTGGCAAGTATCGAGTCGATTGAGAAAACGTGGCTGTTAACCAGACGGACTGAGCACCTTTCACAAATGCAGATCTTGTCTCAATATCTTGGAGTCGCAGAACGCCCTGAATCTGAGCTCGCAAGAGTGAACCAAAGACAGACGGAGGGCTCTTGCAAGTGGCTCACAGACAAAGAATCTTTCCAAAAGTGGGTAGGACTGCCAACTTCGCCACGATTCTTCTGGCTTGATGGAGAACCAGCGACTGGCAAATCTACAATCGCAGGTCATGTGATAAAGTTTATCGAAGAGACCAACGGCGACTGTGCGTTCTTCTTCTTCAAACATGGAGACAGCACCAAATCGTCCATCGCCGTCCTTTTGCGCTCCCTTGCCTGGCAGATGGCACGGGTGAATCTAGATGTGCGACAAGAATTACTGGCCATGGCAGAGCAGGGCCATTTTGTGGACAAAGCAGACGAAGGCTCTGTCTGGAGAAACATTTTCGCAGCACGCATATTACGGCTTGGATGGCGGCAACCGTGCTATTGGATCCTCGATGCTCTCGATGAGTGCTCGAATTATCATGCTTTGTTTCCCTTACTGTCAAAGGTAGAGAGACAGCATCCCCTACGAATCTTCATCACCAGCCGGCCCGTATTGGCTATTGACAGACTTTTCACCCAAGAAAAACTGGATCGAATCGCCGAGACAATCTCCATCAGGGAGTCGCTTGAGGACATTCATTTGTATCTTCAAGCCAATGCACAGTTCTTGCCTGCAGAAGACGAGATTGAGAGAGATCGGCTGCTTACCCGAATCTTGAATCGGTCAAATGGCAATTTTCTGTGGACATATCTCGTTTTACAAGAGTTGGCGGACACACTTAACGTCCAACAAGCATATGAAGTCTTGGACTCAGTCCCAAATGGCATGGATGGGCTGTATTCCCGCATCCTTGAGGCACTGTTGAACAATCCCCGGAACCGGGAAATAGCAAAAGCCATATTGAAATGGACTGTTTGCTCAAGTCGACCTCTGACGATCGACGAGCTCAAAGAAGCCTTGAGGCTTGATATCAACGTCACTTTACCTCGCCTAGAATTGACTCTCGGGTCAGTCACGGGAAACCTTGTATATGTTGATGGTGACAACAAAGCTCAACTGGCTCACCAGACTGTGCGATCATTTCTCACCCGTGATCACACTCACGGCCTACTTACCAACGACTTTTCTATCATTCGGTCTCGTGATCATCTGAACATCGGCCGAGTCTGTTTGGACTATCTCCGCGGGTCAGAGCTCAAGGTGGCAAGGTATCGTCGTGGCACCAGCAGTTCCCGCACGGTCAAGCGTTCGGCTTTTGCAGAATACGCAGTGCAACACTTCTCCGATCACATTGCTAAGTCACACTCCGACGATGCGAAGATCCTCGGCGATATCCAAGCCTTCCTCTCCTTGAACTCCTTGACCTGGATTGAGATCGTTGCGACCACCAATGACCTGACACCAATTGTACAAGCTGCCAAAAATTTGAAGGCTTATTTGGACCGACGCGCAAAGTATCAAGCACCGATTGGGCAGGCAATACAAGATGTCACAGCATGGGCTGTGGATCTTAGCCGCCTTGTAGCCTCTTTTGGCAAGCCATTGATGACGAATCCAGGAGCAATCCATTTTCTGCTTCCGCCAGTATGTCCGTCTACTTCCATTATATACCGATCCTTCGCGGATTATCCAAGGCCGATGCGGGTCTTGGGACTGTCTGAGGACGAGTGGGACGATCGACTGTCATGCATTGTCAACCCTGGACAACAGGCACTCTCGGTCACTTGTGAGGACATCGCGTTTGCAGTCGGCTTCTCTGATGGGACCGCCCATATTTATGACACTTCTACAATGCAAGAAAAGCATGTATTCAACCATCGAGATCAAGTTCGCTTTGTTGCATTCTCGACCACAGATCAATATTTGGCAACAGCAAGCCGGAAGAAAATTAGCTTATGGAATTGTACAACAATGGTTCTGACATGGGAAGTCAAGCTCAACGATCCTCTGTTGACCATGTGTTTCAACGAAGACAACAGTCTCCTCATGGGTGCAACAAGATCCAATTCGCTGTTGTTTTGGAACTCGGCTACTGGAGAGCTGGTCAACAGCTTCCAGTTCTCCGACATTGATGAGTCGACCGGAAGAGAACATTGGCATGCCAGAGCTCCCACACATGCAACCTTCTCGCCAGGCCTCAATCTCCTTGCAGTTGTATATCGACAACGACCAATTGTTCTCTGGGACCTCGAAGATTGTTCATACGTCGGTCAGTATAATAAAGACACCAATGTATATCCAGGACCTCTCTGTTTTGCTCTCATCTTCAACCCGAAAGCAGAAGTTCAGCTCGTAGCCGCAGCATACGACGACGGAGAGATTGTGGCGTTCGATCCCTGGACCCAACGGAGACGCGCCAGTGTCAACGCAGACACTGCAGTAATGCAAGGTAGTAGAGACGGCACCATTTTGGTCAGTGGTGATGGCAATGGCAAGATCACTCTGTACGACTTTGAGACTCTCAAGGTACTGTACAACATCAACTCCTATGAGTTAGGGATCAGAAATTTTGCTTTCAGCAACGATGGTCTTCGATTCTTCGATGTAAGAGGTGATCACTGCAACATCTGGGAACCGCCAGTTCTTGTACGTTGGGCTGAGATGAATGACGAATCAAGCATAGGACCTAGTGATGATGCATCAATTGCTGCACCTCCTACTGTCAATGCGAAGACATATGACGACGATAGAGCAATCACCGCGATGGCTGCTCCTTACGGCTTTGACGTCATCATCTGTGGTCGCGAAGATGGCTCGGTTGCTGCGTACTCCGCTCTGACGGGCTATCTGGTACAAGAATTGGCCAGTCATGCAAAGAATATTGCTGTCATGTTCCTGCATCTCAGTCGTTCTGGGGAAATCCTTGTCAGTGTCGACAGATCTGGTAGGATCGTCACTCGCAGACTAGAAATCCTACGAGGTCCGCGAGTGACGGAATTTGAATTCATGATGGATAGGAAAGCTATCGACGTGGTAGAGCAGATTCTGGCCAGCGCAGATGACACGAAAATCTTGGTGAGTATGTCGCACAAAGACGAGATATGGGAACTTGAGACAGCCAACACTCTTGGTGAGATCCCAAGATCAAACGATCGAGCTCATTGGCGTTGGATACAAACATCCAAGCTGTTAATGCCATTGGTTTACTTCTCCAATGGCACAGCCACCCTGTATAATTGGGACCTCTTCGAAGCAAGTCATCTAGGACCCTCGATGGACTTATGTCTTGCAGAAGCGGGCACTACACCAGTAGTAGCAGTCACCTCCTCAGCCAACGCTTCGCATCTATGCATTTTGCTTGCAGGTTCTCGACCTGGACTCGTACCTCCCATCCTGCGAGTCTGGAACATGCACGAAATGCATGCCGTTTCCAGAGACACTCAAAAGCCAGATATCAAGGAAGAGAGCACACGAGAGGCGATTTCCAAAAAGTTGCCGGCCAACGCCACCTACGATCAACTCGCCAAAGACATCAAATTCGTCATTGGCGTATACGAAGAATCTCTCATCTTCCTCACCCACCAAGGCTGGATCTGCTCATTAAAGTTCACCAGCCCGGGGGAAGAGAACCACTACACCCGCCACTTCTTCATACCCTTCCGGTACCAGAACAGCGCGAGCTCACTGATTATACACGTTTCGTCTAAGGGCAGTATCATCGTCGCCTACCGGACCGAGGTAATCATATTCGCTGGAGGTCTAGACTTTGAAGAAAAGATTGGCTGGAAGGGTGACACGATTATTCCCAGGCCCTCCATGAAGTCTACGCTGGGGAGAGGAAGATCCGAACCTATTTCCTACTAAAGGTGGGACAGAAGCATTCGAGTCGCTCTGGGGAATGGGTCGCAACGAAATGTATGATATGGCTGATGGTTATATTTGATGATTCCCCACATATCACTTGACCAATGAACAAATATCTTGCCAACACCAAGTAAACACATCCTATTTCACATCTCATGACGTACAAGGAACCCCATTCCCAAAACCCCATCCCTCTAACCCTCCTTCCTCTTCCCTCCCTTATCCCAAACAATTTCCCTCAACCTCTTATACCCCGTCCTCCCCTGCACCGGACTGGTATCCTGGAATTAAGAACCTCGATTTTCGGGTCAGATATCGATCGAGGGCCGAATAAAATCGAAGTAGGAGTGCCGATGGCGGCATGAGCGATATCGTCAAGCGGCGTGATATGACAAGTCAACTGGTGGGAGGCGCAGTGTACCAGACTGATACTGCTGCTGGTCTAGCACAAGTCATGCGTATTCTGCTATTCCGCATTGCGTGACTCGATCAGCCGAATATCTAGGACTGATCGTTTTGAGCGGGATTTGAACGCTATTACTTGTAGAGAGATTTAGCAACGTTTTTTTATAACATTCTTTATAAGCTAGATAGATAATATTTCAATTATTTAATCACATAGAATACTACTTAGCGTAATTAAATATTTATTTTATAGAAATACTTTTTATAAGTTTAATTATTCTATTAAACTTTAGCGTATTAACTTAATTTAATATTTATTTAAATAAATTTCGCGAGTGAAAGTTCGATCTATCTATTTTTATATTTAATTTATTTCTTATTTTTAATATTATTATTTTTAATAAGTTTATATATTTATAAATTAAGTTTATAAAAAGTAGTTTCGAGATTAAATTTAACTTTTTAAGAGTAAAATACTTTACTTAAGATTTATTTAAAATTATAAGATTAGATTATATTATTTTTACGCTATTAAAAAGCGTAAATTATACTCTATAATATAAGAAAAGTTATAAATTTTAATTTAAAAAAAAGAATTTATATTAAAAGTTATTTTTAAGTAAATCGAATTAAAGAACTTATTTTTAAGTTAATTTATATATAATTAATAAAAAGTTAAATTTAATAAATATTATTAGAGGCCGGAAAGCTATAATATTTAATATGAGATTTAAGTAATTTTAGAGATATTATTCTAAAAGATATAGGATATTTTTAATCCCACTCGCTATTTTATATATAAATTACCGTATTTTAAAATCGTCTAGTATAAAAGAGACTACCCTCGTTATAAGGCTTTAAGAATTTTAATATTCTATAAATAGATTATAAAGATATAAATTTTCAAAGAAAAGAAGTAAAAGTTGAAAAATTCTAAGTTCAAAAAACCCATATCTTTCCGAATTCCGGGCTCCGGCCAGTAAAATTTATTATTATCGATTTTAATTTTAATTTTCTAATCTTTTAATATTTTACGATTTTATTATTATTTATATTACTTAATTAAGAGAGATTAATAAATCTAAATCGAGAATAGAGCGATATAATTCTATATTCTATTAAATTTCTCTCTCTAATTAACTATTTAAATTATATTAAAATTAATTCTACTAGAATAAATAAGATTTTAATAAATAATACTTAAAATTCTTATCTTTAAAGATTTAAAGAATTAAATTCTATAATTCTTAGATTAATAAGAAACGTATATTATACTTTATAATTTAATCTAATTTTAAAATATCTTATTAAGAAATTATAAATACTTAATAAATTATATTTCTATATTTATACTCTATTAAGAAGTATAAATTATACTTTATAATTTTAGAAAAAATTTAGAAGATTTTAATAAAAATAAATTTTAAATTTTAAATTTAATAAATATTTATCTATATTTTCTTAATTAAAGCTATCTAAAATTCGAGAATAATTATATACTCTATAATTAAAAAAAATTAATAAAAGATTTTAATAGAGATTAAATATAAGAGTAAAAGTACTCGAAGCGAATTAATTAACTCGCTTACGTCGCTTATTAAACTATAAGCTATATAGCTAAAGCGAGTATTTAATATATTTAATAAAGTCTTAAATACTTATAAATCTTCTTTTTTCTTCTTTTTTCTTTAATTATTAATTTATCTAATAATTAATTTATTTATTCTATTAACTATATATCTAGATTTTATAATTATATAGCTATTACGTAGTTTTATTAAAAAAGATCTTACTATCTTATAATTCTAATAATTTTATTTATATAAAATTATTTAATTTAACTATAATAAATAACTTATAAATTAATTCTATTAACTTATAAAGTAGAAATATCTTATTATAATTAATTAATAATATTTCTAATTTAATAAATAACTTTTATTAAAATATATTTACTATATAATTAAGCGATTATAATATTAATATTAATATTAATAAGAATTCTAATAATACTATTAATAGAAATAATAATCGTTAAAGCGTTATATCTAATAATCCTCTATCTATAAATAAAAACTCTTATCTTATAAACTTAATTTAAATTTAATACTATTAATTTCTAAAGCTTAATATTAAAAAGTAATTAATTATTAAAAAATTTAAATTAATTAAAATATAGAATATATAAAAATATTATTATAAGTAAAGTAATAATTACTATTATAATTCGAGTTATAAGAAGATAAATATTATTAAAATATCTAATATATAATATCTTAATAACTATAGCTCGATAATTATATTTTTTTAAGATTATAACGATTTTATCGTCTTAATATTTTATATCGATTTTTATATAAATAAAGAAAAGACTCGCTAAACTTCTACTCTCTTAATAGATATTAAAAAATAAATTTAAAGAAATATTAGAGATATAATACTATACGATATTAGAGAATTTATTTAAAAGAAATATAAGAGATAATATTTAAATTAAGTTTATAATCTAGTTATTAAATCTTATAATATAAAATACTAATTAATTAAAATAATTATAAAAAATATATAATTAATAGATAATTTTAATAATTATCTTATTATATTCTAATTATAGCGAGATCGCTATATAATCGATTTAAAATATATAAAAGATCTATAAAATAAAGTAATAAAGAAAATTTCTCTAAAAGCTATAAAGAAGGCTATTTAATTTATTATCTATATTATATTATTATAATAATATTAAAATATAGAATAAAAAATATAAAAAATAAAAGAGCTCTTTACTCTAGATAAGACTCGCTTTAATAATAAGATAAATAATTAGAGAAATAATAATTAATAGTATATTAAGTCTAAAAGATAATATATAAAAAGTTAATAAGATTAAAAGAAGAGTTTATTTTTATTAATATCGTAAAATTAAAAGCTTAAGCGAATTAAATTTAAAGATAGTAACTCTTATATTAAGTCTAAAATATCTCTTATTAAAATATAATATTATAATTATAAGTAAATAAAATATTATAAGAATTTATTTAAATATTTAAACTATATTATAAGTAATAAAATATATAATTATAAATTAAGTAAGAGAAAAGATAAAGTTTAATACTTATCGCTATAATATTAAATACGCTATTAATTAAATAATAATCTTACTCTCTATTATTAAGAGGCGAAATTATTATATTAAATAAAAAGTATAAGATAATTACTCTAATAGATATTAATAGCGAGAAAATCTTTATATTATAATCTTTTATTAAAGAGATATAGATTTCTAAATCTAAATACGCGCTAATAATAATATATATTATTAATAATTATTAAATATTCTTATATAAGAAGTATAATCTAATTTTTAATCTTATAAATAATTAAAAAAGAAAGTAAGAGTAAATTTTAAAGATATATATTATAGATATATAAGAATATAATCTTATTCTTAGTTTCTCTTAAATTTATAATATTAATTTAAATATTTATTAACGCAAATAATTTTAAATCTATCGCGATTTTTTTATAAGTAATAAAATATAAATAGATATTATAATAATAAATATAAAGTAATTTACGTTATTAATTAATATAATAATTATATATAATCTAAAATAAATATTTATTATACTCTTATATTAGATTCTATTTAAAAATAATAAGAATAATTATAATAAAGCTATACGATATAATATTATATAATTAAACGACTTTAGCGTATTTAAATAATTTAAGAATTTATTAAAAATCTTTTTAAAGAGCTATCTAATAATCTTAATATATATAATTAAATCGAGTATTCTATTAATCTACTATCTAGAAAGCTATCTAGAAATAATTCGATTTATAATATATTATATAACGAATTTATAATAATTAGAAATTATCTAAATATTACGTTTAAGAGAAAATAAATTTAATTTTTAATTAGTTAAATTATCTCGCTAATACTATTTATTAAAAAATCTAATAACTCGTTATAATTATATATTAACTATCGAAAATTTAATAAAATAATAATTAAGAATAATTACTCGTTATCGCTACTTTTAGAGATTTTAAAGAGATTTATATATATAAAGTACTTTATTAAGATTAATATTTATAATATATATTATAGAATATAAATATAAAAGAAAGATAAATAAAAAATTATCTTTCGAACTCGCTATAATTAGTTTAAGTATTAAATAATATCTTTTAATTTTATAAATATTTTTATAATCTTTTAAATTTATATAAATAAAGTATTTAAATTATATATTAATATCTTCTATATAATATATCTAAATTATATATTAATCTATTTCGAAATAAAAGAATTATATTAAGAATATATATATAAAATACTACGCGTATTATTAAAGTATTAACTTTATATAAAATTATCGAAATATACTTTTAATTATAATAAGATTATCTTTTTAGAATTTTTAATAAATTAGCGCGATATCTAAATAAAGTTATTATATATTAAGATTATTACTAAATAGCTAGAATTAGAGTTTATTAAAGATATCTTAATCTTTCTAAGATTTATAAGCTTTTATTAATAATTCATATAAGGCTTTTTATAGATAATTACGTTTTTAATA